ATATATATTTATATACATAAATAGACACAGAAACTTCACAGCCTATTTACAGAACATTTTATCCTTGATATTATACACGGAACTCCAGGCCAAGCTCAGGGAATGACTTGAAGAGCACATACATACCTACAGTGAACCACAATGGGTCCAGCATGGGCAGGATGCAATGTTTTGACTTTTTTCAGGAATTTCAGCATCCCAATGGGTGTGAAAGGCACCCCGAAATCAGGCCAGCTGGTAAAGTGAAGCTGAGTAACGAGCCTCGGAGCTTTACAACCATCGTGAAGCTGCAGGGAACACATAGACTTGGAGTTTGACATTTCATTTTTCATGCAAAGATTTATAAACAAAACTGTTCTGGTTATTTATGACTTTAATTCCTGTGACTTTTAGAGCCTGACTCAAGGATTAGAAGTTTACAGTGTACCTGAAATACAAACATTGAGTAAAATTATTATATTAAATTATTAAAATGCGTCTTTGTAGTGAAAACTGGAATAATCCCAGGATAGGATTGCAATGAGTAAGACTCAAAATTGATGTTCATAATGGATTGAAATTTAAGTCCTTTTTCACTTATAAAATCCACCCGACACTTCTTTGAGCAGCCTCAGATGAAACTCACAAAATTCAGTCTGAACATTCAGGATCTGAGAGGCCAAATATCAGCTTTTGCCATTATCACATGTGGAAAATGAAAGAAGGGTTGCACCTCTGATGGCCAGCTACCAACAGCTTGATGATCTGACCTGCTCTTCAAGCAGAAAAGATACTCCAGAAGCAATGACAGCAGAGCTCAGCGTTGTTTCACCTGCATTCACTAAACACAACCTGTCCTCAAGGTCAGAGAACCACAGCCTGTCTCACAAGCTTTCAGTCAGCCAGGGTCATTTCTTTCAAACTGGAGGAAGCCACGTGCTTTTTGAAGGTTACCTGGTCTCCATCAATGGATAACCAACCCCCCCTAACACATACTCAGCAGAGATCAAGTGAAGGGCAGCCAGGTCCAGGTTCAGAAACCTTCCAGCCCTTCAGCTTACCCACAGTGGGTACCTCTCCGTACTGTTACTCCTTTCCCACTCTTCTGAGCACAGTTTCTCTGAGCATTTTTATCAGTGATGACTTATCAGCAATCACAAGTCATACCAAAGCGATCTGCAGGCTGAATCAGCAGAGGCTACTTCCCAGTTCTCAATCTGTAACTAAAGCTGAATGAATCCACCCATATTTTGAGGGGTTCTGAGCTCTCCACATAGTTCTACACAGCTACGTGTGGTTTACCACCTCTCACCAGCCCATATTGTCTTTGGTCTTCAATCTGAGTCAGGTTACTGCACACAAACACAGCAGCCCTCCCTTTAAAAGGTGAGGACCTCCAATAATTTGCTCCCGTACGAGGCTACAGGCTGTGGGGAAGAGCAAAGTCATCTCCCACTACATCTCGTGTGACCTAAAGCTTCAACTGTGTCGGAGACCATGGATACAACAGAAATCACTCTGTAACCCAAACATATCCAAATCCACTCCTTCATTTATCTGTACAATTTGTCCCAAAAAAGGTCAAGTCACTGCTCCTGTGCTCCATCCCTGACAGTCACAAGGAATCACTTTCTGTGGCACTTGGCTAAGGACAAGAAGAAAATCAAGCAGAACCTCTTGCAATCCATTAAACTGTAGCACAGGTGGCATGTGCTGACCTGCAGAGCTTGCTCACCTGCCTAGGAGTCAGAACCCCAGCATTGCCTGGATTGGAAAAGCTCTTTAAGATCATCCAGTCCAACCATGAGCCCAACACTGACAAGTCCCCGACTAACCCATGTCCCTCAGCACTGTGTCTACACGACTCTTCAATCCCTCCAGGGATGGGGACTCCACCACTGCCCTGGGCAACCCCTTCCAATGCCTCAGAACCCTTTCAGCAAAGAAATTCTTCCTCACATCCCATCTCAACTGCCCTGGCCACAACTGGAGCCCATTTCCTCTTGTCCTGTCCCTTGGTCCTTGGTTGAACAGACCCATCCCCACCTCTCTCCACCCTCCTTTCAGGGAGTTATTTCTCGATAGTGCAAATATGTTTAATTAATTTCCTGAATTCCTTTTAAGCAAATATTTAACATAGTAACACTTTGCTTTAAACATTCAGACAAAGCCCCAGCGAGAGCACTGTTGTCACTCACCGACTGGACGCAGAACTTGCGGATGGTGTAGTCCACCAGAACGATACAATCCTCCACCGACACGCGGATGTTTCCGTACGTCCAGCACCCTTGGTCAGGCCAATACTGATAACATTTTTCCTGTCCAGACATAAAGTCAGTTTTATACCACTGAGGCTGCTTTCATCATTGGTCACTTATAATTAAAACAACACAGTTATGTGCAAATAGCGCACACAGGTGGGCAGATGAGGACACAGAGTTTCTCATTGAGACCAGGACAGCTTTAACACTTGGCTACTGCTATTGACAGTTAAATTTATGCAGAGAAGGTGAGAATAGCTTTGAAGTTGTTTTTTTAACCTACCCAGACCTAACCAGCTTTGTTAGGGGGGGTGCTTAACTGTGGGAACTGATGGCTTGACTCTTTATTTTTAAGCTTTAGGTGTAATCTAAAGTGAGATTGTGACAAAGTCCTTGTTTGAGTCATCAGGAACATTCAGATTTAACAGTTTTGGCTTCTCACATTAGGGACAGGCTCTTGCAGATGCCTTTGCTGTTTGAGCTTCAGCAGGTAACACTGTAATTGCAGGAAAATAAAGCAGACGTGCCCTTGTGAAGAGGTGGACAAGGAATGTCTGGTGAGCTAACCTACTGCAGTGAGTCCAGAGGAGGCCACGAGGAGGAGGTCCAGAGGAGGCCAAGGGCTGGAGCAGCTCTGCTGTGAGGACAGGCTGAGAGAGTTGGGGCTGTTCAGCCTGGAGAAGAGAAGGCTCTGGGGAGACCTTCTAGTGGCCTCCCAGTACCTGAAGGGGCTACAAGAAAGCTGGGGAGGGACTTTGGCCAAGGGCAGAGAGTGACAGAACAAGGGGTGATGGCTTGAAAGTGTCAGAGGGGAGATGGAGAGGAGATGTGAGGAAGAAATTCTTTGGTGTGAGGGTGGTGAGACAGTGTCCCAGGTTGGCCAGAGAAGCTGTGGCTGCTCCTCCCTGGAAGTGTTTGCGGTCAGTTTGGATGAGGCTGTGAGCAACCTGGTCTAGTGGAAGGTGTCCCTGCTGCTGGCAGGGGGGTTGGGACTGGATGAGCTATAAGGTCCCTTCCAACCCAAACCAGTCTGGGATTCTGTGATCTCTATCTGAATTATCTTTTTTTTATTGTAAAAATTGCACAAAGGCCAACTCTGACCCAGCGATACGGGCTCATCACATCTCATGAGTCTCCTGCCCATGGTCAACCGTTGCTGCTCATCCCCATATTTCCCCATTGACAGCAAAGATGTCCTTGGGTGATGAGAAAAGCCCAGCTCTTGGGACAGCACATGGCTTCTGCCTTCTCCCTCTGCTCACTCCTACAACCACCAAGGAACAAGGTTTTTTTTTTCCTCAGGGATATGTTTTTGAGGACTTTATAGATACATTTCAAATAAGGATGTAGCATACCCGGTGCACCTAACTGTTCCCTAGGGGAAAAGAAAAGAATTAAAAAGCATCTTTTCCATTTCTGATGGTACATTTCCTTAATGTTTCAAGTTAGCTTCTGGAATCTGCTCAGGAATGAAGTTAAATATTTCATACTTGTCCTGTGCATCTCAGCACCCGGCCAGTACATGTAGAAAGACTCACACAATGGGAGGAGCGAAACGTGGAATGGGGGGAAGAGGAAGGAACAGCATCACACTCCCCAAAAAAAAAGTGGTGGTTTTTGTTACATGCAAATGCCAGAAAGAATTTTGAAACCTTTCTCTCAGAAAAATGAATAAAGTTTTTATCTTCATTTCTAAGCAAACCCACCCAGAAGAGCAGCACACAGGCATGAGAATTTCCCTTCGGCTATGGGCTACACAGGACAAAATGAGCTATCAGAATTTTTCCCATGAGATTCTGGAAATTAAAACTACATTTATGAGCAGAAACTCAGATGTGCTAACAGGGACTGGAGAAGGAAGTGGTCAGAAATGTGACTGGCCAGGCGCTGAGCAGCCACGGCTGCTTTTGGAGCACGCTCTTGTCGAGCCCTCCCAGAGCAAACCCAAAGCTCTTTACCTCTTTTCTTTCTTTCAGGTTGGTTAACATGACGATCACAGCTGACTTCTGCTCCCAAATCATCCTCCAGAAATCATTAACTGTTTCTTGCTTCGGTCCTGCAGACAGAATACAGCTTTGCTGAAGAAGGGTGATGGAGACCAGCGTGAACACCCCCTGCCCCCACGCCCAGGTCTGTGTTTATTACTGAGCACTCAAGTTTTGAACACACCGTATATTTCTTTAAAAAAATTAATATTTCCTTTTACACAACCATCTGCACTCAAATCTCCATTTCTAGCAGATACCTCCTCTCTTGAAATATTATTAATGCTCTTTTAAGTGGGCTATGGCAGGAGCATCATTTAGGATTTCTACTTTGTGGTTCTCCCCCATGCCAAGTGACCACTGTGACCACAATGAACCATTGTCTTGAGAGCTGCTCATCGTGCTGAGCCAGACAGGAGTATTTTTGAAGGGCAGGGGCAGCTATTGCTTTGTGTCTGGGAATGCCGTGACAAAAACTCCTCAATTTTGGAACTAAATACAGAGTAAGAATCCACGTGAAAATGCTCATTTCTCAATTAGACTGTATTATCAGGAGACATCATTTTTCAAACCTCCAGTAAGTAGATCATAAGAAAAAAAGAGAAGCAAAGCAGGGGTGGAAGGGGGAAGGCTCTGTGCTCAGAGCAGTACCTGTGTGTCTAAAGGCAGTGGGTTACCTCACACCCACTTTAATTTCGTTTAAACTGTAACCTCTAAACCCCACTTCACCATCTGCAGCGGAAAACAACCTTTTAAAACACTTCTAAAATTAAATATGTTCAGCCATAAGATGGACAGAATAGAGAAATGAGAATTGATTACCTTGTGCTGCTATAAATTTATTCTTTTCTTTATAACCCTACGGAAACAAACATCATCGTTAAAAGATGAAATCCCAAGGGACTCTAGCAGAAAAATACTTATTTAATTCACAAAGTTTGCAGCTTGTCCAACAGTGCAAAACTGTCAACTTACATCTATATAGGATGCATTGATGTAGTCTGAAGGTGGGACTCCATCAATTTGGGTCAAAATCACTCTGGAATGATCATCTGGAAGAAAACACAATACAAGCATGTTTGTGTGTGAATCAATCAGAAATATTCTACTTCCTGACGAGTGGGAGGCCAGGCTAAGCATACCTAGAAACATAGAATTGTTTGGCTGGAAAAGACCTTTGAGATCATTGAGTCCAACCGTACCTGTCCACTGCTAAACCAGATCTCTGAGCACCTCATCTACCCGGCTTTTCAATCCCTCCAGGGATGGGGACTCCACCACTGCCCTGGGCAGCCCATTCCAGTGCCTGAGAACCCTTTCAGTGAAGAAAATATTTCCTGGCATCCAATCTGAACCTCCCTTGGCACAACTTAAGGCCATTGCCTCTTCTTGTCCCATCTCCTGGATTGGTCCAAGTTCTCATCAAGAAACTTTATCCACAAACATCTTGCTTTGCTTCCACACTTGGAGGTCACTGGGACCGCAGCTCTACAATACTCTACAAACTTTGACATATTTGATTGCCTAAAACTAACCTGAGACACTAAAATATCCATTTGACATCATGTAATTGGGTAGAACCTTGTCAGAGTGAAGGCTTTTGTCCTGATAACCGCTACAGAAATACCTAACAGGACATGATCAATACAGGAGACACACCACAGCAAAACAGGTTTTGCATGAAAAACAGAGGAAGAACTTTTGTGACAGTGAAATTATGTTACATTAATATTTTCAGCTAATGAACACTATCACCAGCATGCTCAGTGCCACAGCAAAGTGTTGAATTTAAAAAGAAAAGGTAACGTCTTACACGGCAGGATGTTGGGATATCTGTTTTTCTCCCTGTTTTCTTCCTTATTTGCCATTTCAAATGTTCCCTGCACATATCCAGGTGTCAATGACTGGAAAAAAAACAAACACCACAAAAGTCAATGTGTTAAAAACCAGCTGGCTCCTGCCTGCACATGGCTTAGGGACAAATCTGCATTTAGACATTCTGCCTGACATCCAACAGCATTAAACTTTTTAATTTTATATATATATATATTTTTTTTTTTTTTTTCCACAATAAATTTAATTACTCTACACCAGGAAACCACATCCTGACAGAGATTTCACTACAGAAAAACCCCGAGTTCAGCAATTTTGGGGGAAAAAAAAAAAAAAAAATGAAAAATCAGTAATTTTTTCCCCACCAGAGATGGCAAGTTATTTAGAAAACTGTTAAACTCGGCGCCGCCGCCGTAAGCTGCCATCTGCCGCGGTGATTCACAGCGTCGTGACCCAGCGCCGCTCCCTCCAGCTCCAACACCTCCTTCTAGCAATAACAGTTGGTTCAATAACAGAAATAGAGGCTGATTGTTAATAATGTTCATGTTAAATATCAAACATCTCGCTGAGATCCACGGGTAAAGGCCCAACTCTGGTAGAAAGGGAGGAAGCAAAAAGAAATCGCAATGATTTTAATACGAAAAGTCGCTGTACGAGCACGAGTCAAATCCTGCTGGTAATCAGCAAGATCTGAGACTGAAGATAAATTTAGTCAAGCTTAAAAAAAAAAAAAAACAACCCAGAAACCCGCTCTTACAGAGCAAGCAAATGAAAGGAAGAAGCAGAGATGACCAGGGTGAGGATGAAGATAAGGAGGTGCCTGATGTGGAGCTCCTCAACCTCCACACAGAAGCTGCTGAGATACCAGGGCCATAAAATGATCTGAGGGCTGGAGAACATCTGCTATGGAGAAAGGTTGGGAGAGTTGGGGCTGTTCAGCCTGGAGAAGACTCTGGGGAGAACTTATTGCACCTTTCAATACCTGAAGGGGCTACAGGAAGATGGGAACAGACCTTTTAGCAGGGCTTGTAGTGACAGGGCAAGGGGTGATGGTTTTAAACTAAAAGAGGGGGGATTTAGACTGGATGTAAGGAAGAAATTGTTTACACTGAGGGTGGTGAGACACTGGCCCAGGTTGCCCAGAGAGGTGGTAGAAGCCCCATCCCTGGAAACATTCAAGGTCAGGTTGGACGGGGCTCTGAGCAACCTGATCTGGTTGCAGATGTCCCTGCTCACTGCAGGTGGGATGGACTGGATGACCTTGATCACCAACAGCATAAATGAGAACTGAGTTTCATCAAGTTTCACGTATTAAACTCCTAAAACCCAATGTCAGCATGTTGGAACCCACCGAGGTAAAACCCCAGCAGTTTGAGAATGCACAACCATCTTCTCCCACCCTTCTTCTACCTCCCACCTCCCATTTGGATCACACAGGGGAAGGGAAAAAAATGGTAAGTGACCATCCCTGCTAGCCTGGCAGAGAGCAGGGCTTGGAATTTCCCCTGAAAAACAGCAATTCCTGTTGTCAGGGTGACATAGGATGGAAGAGGGGGTGCAGGAGGACTTCTCCTCCACCACAGAGGAAACAGCAACGTGCATTTGTGGGTTTATTGGCTTTTTTTTTTTAATATCACTTAAACCTGTGAACGTTAAGTAAAGGAAAGGAGAGAGAAGGTTAAAAAAAAAGCGTTGAAAAAGAAAGCTGCTTTCAGCAAACTGCTTAATTCCTGCTTTGAATGAAGCCCCTGGTTTTGCTAATTAAAATACATTTCCAATTTAGAAAACACAGAACATTTATGTTTTGCATAAAAAGAAATAATTAGCACTTCAAACATGGTTTCTTCAAACTTCAAAAGTCAGGCAACAAATTCCCAATAAACAGTCATAGAAGTTCTGCACCTTCCTGTAAAAAATGCATTGAAAATAAATCTCTCTGGTAAAATAACTTCTCCATTCCCTGCTCCTTACTCCTGACATCTCCCCAGGAACCTCCTGATGCCACGCTGCACGGCTTAGAGCGGGTGTTGAACCCCGACACGAGGACACAACCCGCTTCTCTGCTCCCACCCATCTTCAGCGGGGAGGATGTGATTCATCGAGGATGCACTTCATCACGTCCTCTCCATCACCCCGTGGATCACGAGGAGCTGATGACTCCTGGTGGCACTGGGTCATCTCCTGCCACCACAGTCTTATCTGCTCCCGCTGCGCCGGAATCCTAAAATCTCTCTGAAGCTTCCAAGGGACTCGACCTACCCCAGCAGCAGCTCATTTTCTGCCTTTTTTTCTTTTCACTGAATGAACTGCAGAGACATCTTAACCACGTTCAAAATGAGAATTTCCAAATCAAATTCTTAGAGGAAGGTTTTGAGACATTAATCTGAAAATCGAGGCAGTAAGCTAGCCAGCATAAACTTCAAACACCCAGCTCATGGCATCAGAGGGAGCTTAGAAACAGGATGGAGAGCAACTTTTTATGTGGGTAGATAGTGACAGGACAAGGGGAAGTGGTTTGAAACTGAGAGAGGGGAGATTTTGGTTGGATATTAAGAGGAAATTTTTCACCCAGAGGGTGATGAGACACTGACCCAAGCTGGCCAGAGAAGCTGTGGCTGCTCCTCCCTGGAAGTGTTGAAGGCCAGGTTGGATGAGGCTTTGAGCAACCTGGTCTAGTGGAAGGTGTCCCTGCTGATGGCAGGGGGGTTGGAACTGGATGAGCTTTAAGGTCCCTCCCAACCCAAACCAGTCTGTGAGTCTATGGCTGTGCTGGAGGGTCTGGATTTCTCAGCCTCTTTTCTTCCAGCGCTGCAATAACAGACTTCTGTTTGTCACCTTTCCTGGTTATGCTACAATATCCATCACTCTGATTTTCAACTGTCCTTCACCCTTTCTCCCCCTCTCAAGCTTGAGCAAACAGCTCATATATCCACAGGAGATACAGCAGGGAAAAAAACCAACAACCCAACACATGAAGCATCAAGCAGACTTTATGTACCATCACCCCCCGTCACTGCTCAGACTGCTCATTTCTGGGGACCGGACCCCAGTTTTCAGACTCAGCACTTGTGTGTGGACTGACACATGGTCACAGCATGGTGCAGAAAATCTTCCCAGCAAAAAAGCAAGCTTGAAAAATAAAAATAGATGGTTTCTTTCACCCCTAACTGCAGAAGGAATTAATCAGGGGAGTCAAAATTCACAAGCGCGCATCTCAGCAAATTAGTTTTCACATTCATTTCGTCGACGTCGATAATTATCTCCACAATGCTCCCTCTCTGAGATAAAGCAAAGAAATTATGTGTTTTAAATATATCATCAAACAAATTGCAGCTATAAATACGCCGCCAATGAAGAAGGTAACTTAACAGACTGTCTAATCAATGCGTGCATCGGCTATGACAACTCCATAGCTGACATTTAAGCTACTGCTCTGTGCTACTTGCTTCTGCTGTGAAGGGAAGTGAAAAAATAAATCATAGAAGTATGGAAAATATATCATAAAAGTATGGAAAATAAATCACAGAAGTATGGAAAATAAATCATAAAAGTATGGAAAATAGATCATAAAAGTATGGAAAATAAATCATAAAAGTATGGAAAATAGATCATAAAAGTATGGAAAATAAATCCTAGAAGTATGGAAAATAAATCATAAAAGTATGGAAAATAGATCATAAATGTATGGAAAATATATCATAAAAGTAAGGAAAATAGATCATAAAAGTAGGGAAAAGGCCCCTGAATGTGGACGAGTGAGAGTAGACTCATCACACCGGGTTTCTCCATAGAAACCAGCTCTGCAGCAGCTCACCACAGACCCCGGTTATGACCACAGACAACTGAAGTTTGGGTTATGGGCAGAAAATAACATCTCCTTTCTGACCAAGGCAATGGTTTTCAAGAAAAACCCTTAAAGTTGAGCTGCTTCATAGAAATGTATGTGCCAGGGCACAGGGCGCTGGAAATGGGGAAGCGATGAGATGCTAACAAAGAGGAAAAGGTCAAATTAGCAAAAAAGTAAAAAATGAGGCAAACCTCACCAGGGCAATATTAAAGGTCACACTGTATCTTCTCCTCTAAGTACTTCCCAGAGAGGTGAGACATTCAGACTCCCCAAAAAAACCCTCCACCACCACCAAGAAAATGAATGCTGAGGAGATTCATACTCAATTTTCCTCTTCTCCAGCTTCCAGGCAAACACTAAAGACCTTCTTCAAATGTTAGCAGGTGTCAAACGGTTTATACACGACCAGTTTGGCATCACTGTACCACAGGGCAGTTAAGGATCCAGATTTTGTCCAGATCAAGGGTTACAAAGGGCTACAGAGATGACTGAGGGGCTGGAGCATCTTTCTTATGAGGAGAGGCTGAGAGAGCTGGGACTGTTCAGCCTGGAGAAGAGCAGCCTGAGAGGGGATCTGATCAATGTCTATAAATCTAAAGGGTGGGTGTCAAGAGGATGGGGCCAGACTCTTCTCAGTGGTGCCCAGTGACAGGACAAGGGGCAATGGGTACAAACTGGAACACAGGAGGTTCCACTTAAACATGAGGAAAAACTTCTTTCCTGTGAGGGTGCCAGAGCCCTGGGACAGGCTGCCCAGAGAGGGTGTGGAGTCTCCATCTCTGGAGATGTTCCAAACCTTCCTGGATGTAATCCTGGGCAACCTGCTGGAGATGGACCTGCTTTGGCAAGGGGGTTGGACTAGATAATCTCTAGAGGTCCCTTCCAACCCCCACCATTCTGGGATCCTGTGACAGAACAGCACCATCACACTCACACAACAAGTGCTGAGGCTCTGAGATACCAGCATCATGCACCAAACACTTAAAAAAAAATTAAAAATTGTGAATATTTGCAGATGTTTTGATTTCTCCCCCACTTTTCACCATGCAGCCAACCCCTCCACGTGTGAGAACTTACATTGAACTCCTCACGGAAGAGTTTCCCTTCGTCTGCTGATCGCATCCGTATTTCCTCCTCGAGATTTTCTACTGGAATAGGGAAATACTTCTTTGGGCCCGAGGGAGACCTACTGAGCAGCATCACCCGTTGCTGTTCTGTCAGTACAAGGAAAGTCCATGTTAAAGGTGTGTCCAGAGCACCCCATTACAAGCTATTTCCAATTACAAGTTAATTTTTATGCTGGAAGATGCCAAAATGTATTTCTCACATGAGACTTCAAACGGTGATAAAGCTGATTTAAATAAAAAAAACCAACCCAAAACCACAGGCCAAGCAGCTGCTTTGAGAACATCATAAAATCAAGCAGAACCACTACTGGTAAAATTAATGGTTTCTGTATTTACAGCGGATTAAAATGTGACCAAGTTTTATTTAGAAAAGGGGAAGGTTCCTTCTGCTGACTAAGAGCGTACCAACCCAGAGCTGCTCTGCCACAGGGCAGGGACAACTTTGGGTACCTATCACCCCAGATACTGTTTGGTCACTTCACTTGTGAAGGAGAAGTAATTAAAAAAAAGAAGAAAGAAGAAGAAAGGAAAGAAGAAGAAGAAAGGAAAGAAGAAGAAGAAAGGAAAGAAGAAGAAGAAAGGAAAGAAGAAGAAGAAAGGAAAGAAGAAGAAGAAAGGAAAGAAGAAGAAGAAAGGAAAGAAGAAGAAGAAAGAAGAAGAAGAAAGGAAAGAAGAAGAAGAAAGGAAAGAAGAAGAAGAAAGGAAGGAAGAAGAAGAAAGGAAAGAAGAAGAAAGGAAAGAAGAAGAAAGGAAAGAAGAAGAAAGATGTTTAACTTGGCAGACACCATGAACCAAGATGAGCTGCTGCTGTTGCTCTTGGTTGCTCTAGATCACCTAGCACCAGCCCAGCCCCAGCACACAATCTTGCCACCTAGACTCCAGCTTGAGTAGGGAAATAAAGCCCCAGGACACCTTCATGGTCCTTCTAGAACATGACTGGCCACGTGGAAATTGCCATGAGCATCCCCCATGGGCTGCCTGGCAGGTCCACGTGGAGGGTTAGGGACCCTCCACTTAATCCCTCCACTTAAGAGGGTGTTTGGTGAAGACAAGTTTTACAGAATCATCACAGAATCATGAAGGTTGGTCAAGACCTCTAAGATCATCCAGTCCAACCATCACCTCATCACCACCATGCCCACTAAACCACATCCCCGAGTGCTACATCTACACGTTTCTTGAACACCTCCAGGGATGAGGACTCCACCGCTTCCCTGGGCCTGTTCCAATGTCTGACCACTCTTCTGGAGGAGAAACTTTTTCCTACTATCATATTTATCCTTTCAATATTTATTTACAACCAAAGGCAGAGAGGCAGACCATTTCCTGACACACCAATAACAACGGGGCGATTGCCACTTGCAAACTACAACTCTCCGGTGGTTGCACCAGCCATCCATCACCCAAGGGCACTACCTGGTGCCGAGGGATCTCCACACCACCATCCATCGCCCAAGGACAGTACCAGGTGCCGAGGGATCTCCATGCCACCATCCATCACCCAAGGGCACTACCCAGTGCTGGAGGATCTCCACTCCACCATCCATCGCCCAAGGACAGTACCAGGTGCCGAGGGATCTCCATGCCACCATCCATCACCCAAGGGCACTACCCAGTGCTGGAGGATCTCCACACCACCATCCATCGCCCAAGGACACTACCAGGTGCCGAGGGATCTCCACACCACCATCCAT